TTTCCAGAATAAAGATTTGAAATTGAACCAGCTCTTGATCGTCTCGGAGAATTAATTTCCATTAGCGATGATTCCATGCTCTGATTTTTGCTGGTTTCGGCCGCGAATGCGTTGGCCAGTGTTTCCTGCCTATTTGAGATTTTTTTAATGGTCTTGTCTTGCTCTCTTTGAAACTGGTCGAGGCGTTTTTGCAGTATAGATCGCTCGTGGAGATAAGCCTGGGAAACCCTACCATCATGCGATAAACCCGATGTTTTTCTCTTATCCATCGGAAACTGTTGACAGTCACTTCGGGGAAATCAACTCAAATCGGTGAAGAGTAGTGTTTGTCTAAGCAGTAAACGCAACAAAATGTCCCATAAAAGCGATTTCTACCCGTCGTGCGTTAATAAGAAAAACTGCCAAAAAATATTATCCGATGATTAAGCAGCGTGAACAAAGGAAATATATGTTCCGGAAGATTCTGAACCTAATGATCGAGCCATCACGTTGAAAAATATGGTACTTGCAACTATATGACCTGCGGGTCAATATTACTTTAAAAATACATACATCGATCGGCAATCGAAACATGTTTGCACAGCATGAATAATTTATATTCAAATCTGTTTGATGTCTGTTTTATCCAAGCATTTTCTTTGAACGTACATTAGCCTTAATTAAAATAGTATTTTTACTTTAACACTTAAAGGTGGTTGAAACCTTGCATCCGATGTATGTTTTAAAATTTCCTTAGCTCTAAAACCCATCATAAACTTCAAAGTAATTGCTTTTTTCGTGGAATAAATTGCTGTCAAAATTATCGCCACGACCAAGTTAATCGATACGTTTCAAAACTACTTGTAATGACAACTCCGCCCACATCAATTTCTAATTTTAATTTTTAATAAAATTGTGGCGGAAAGACTCGCAGCCCAAAAAAACCAAACAGACGAACTTCAGCAAGTCTGTGCAGCCTATTCAAGGATTTATATTCCAATGTAACCGGCAAAATCAAACAAAAGCTATAGTTGAGTTGTTGTCATCTTGTTGTTGTTGATTAAAAGAACTACGTCACGTTGCGCATCTTGGAAAATTGAGCCTAAATTTTTCAAGTATGTCGTTTGTAATCCGTGTTAATCTTCTCCATCCTTAACCATCCTTGTTCTTATAAGGTTTATTATTATCTCTTTGATGTTTTTCCATCTTACTAAACTACTATTTTCATGTTTTCTCCAATTTACAGGTAATTTATTACGCAGCCAAAATAACTCAAAATGCCGTGACTGAGCTCCTTTGAGTACAAATACATAAAAGGCCGTTTAAAGGCTAGCTACTGCGCAATCCTTTAATCTTAAGAACATTGCACTATACGTAAATAAGAATAAGTGGGCCGCATCCGAGCCGAGCCAAACATCAATGTCTACTGGTCAGTGGTATATCTTAACATCTCGTAGTTCAAAGCAGGGGAGGCCAAGCCATTACACGGGGGACATCGGCCATTTATGGGAAGTTTAAAGTATTGTTAAACAGCCAATCTCGTGGGTTTACCCCTAACTCCCTCCTGAACATAGCGGAGAAAGCGAGCGACTTATATAGGTGCTGCTCTGAGCTAAATAGATTTAATAGAGCTGAAGCGAGAATAAGATGAAGGAGTAACACGATATGGGCAACGCAATATTAGAACGTTCCATTTGACTCGAACTTATTCTCGACACGGGCTTGGATGTTTCCAGGCGAAACGGTAAACTGAAGTGAGCAGCAAGTTTTCGCTTCAACTTATAAAGAATTGGACGATCAGTATTATTGACTGAAACATTTGTTAACCTGCCATTTTACACCAGCCCGTTCACATACATAATAACACACGCTTAATGAGTTTTAACCGCTCACGTCAACTGCATTAATACTGGCTTTGAAGATTATCTCTGCTAGTTGAAAAATTGCCAAAACTATACATTATCTCACTCTATAAAAGCGGAAAATTTTCAATTTCATACACATTTTCCCAGTCATTTAGATTTTAGCTGGCTTCAAGCTAACTCCTAAGTACCAGAATACAGACAAGAACACAAAAAGTTGAATTCTCGTAAAAACTTGACTTCACTGAAAGAAAAATATGCAAACTGAAGAACATATCCTTCCCTAAAATCACGATCTCGTAATGACAATCGTGAAACGTTCGGAATAATAACGAATGCTTTCGGGCTATACGATTTGTACTTTTGTCAGGATTCCAAAAATGTCCCGAATTGAGTCCAATTTTTTTGAGTGACACTTTTGGATCAACAACTAACGTTTTCCAAAATACCACCTTCGTACCGCGCTAAGAATCCCGATTTCGAACATATTCCGAGGATAGACGAATAGTTTCAACCGGATTACTTTCGTAAGAGGTTCGGATTATTTACGAACGTTTCCTGAGGATACGGTTGGTTCCTGATCACATTCGTGACACGTTCCGAACATTAACAAACATTTGACAAAGTTGCGGTTTGTAACAGAATACTTTCGAAACACATCCAGAAAACTCGCCAAGCATATGCGATTGCCCAGCCGTTAGTGTTGAAAACTTTTTTTTTCTATAGGAAATTGTCGGTAAACAAAATGGGGCGCAATAGTATAGAACGAAGTTCGATTTGACACGAGACATGTCAGCTGTGTATCTCTTATTCAAGGCAATTATTTAACATTTAGCAAAAGCAAACGCGCCGTGCATATTTAACAAAAAGAAAAAAAAAACACGAAAACACACATTTGACTAGCTGCGACACACAGATTAAATTTCATATTCTCAGAGGCTTTTATTTAATTTTGTTCAGCTAGCTAAGATGTCGTTTAAGATTATTCGATTATATATAACTTGAAATTAGCAAGAACATCCACGTTTGAATAATCTCCAACCAAGAGGCTTTTCAGGAAATTTCGCATGATCTTTACTAAGTAGATTAGTAGTATTATTAAAGGTGTTGACGGTTTGTACAATATACTGATTTTATTTAGTTAAGTCACGCACTGAACACAATTTCACATTAATTTTCCTAACCGAATATGAACGTCGTCTCACTTATATAAATTAATGCTAATATTTCAAAGCAACCAAATGTATAAAGCACTTTAAGCTTCGTGTTTCTTCGTTTTAAAACGGAAAACGATTCCGTTTCCGCTACTCAATTTTTTTTTGGCTTTCAAAACATATGATTAAAGTGGAATTCTTGAAAAAAAATTTCACATACAGGCTTAGCTAACACAAAACATTTCCAACCAAAATAATCGATGCCTTTATTATTGGCAAAGAACGGGATCCTTCCGTTTGCTAAAACTTTGCCAGTTTTTTGACTGATTTCTGATGAAACTTGTATTAATTCAACCATAGTTTACATAACCTCGGACGATGTTGTTTTTGGCCCGCTGCGTCAAATTCGATTGCTTTCTTGGCTTTCTTTAGAAAACCTTAAGTATCCGCAATATCTGAGGTCTTCAAT